TAATTTAAAAAAAAAGTTAAAATAGGCAACACACAGATACGTACATACAAACATCAAAAGACATGTCAAGATGTAAGACAGACTTTTTTTAAGCAAACAAAAAACTCTGGCTGCTACCAAAGGTAGATCTAAAGGAAACTGCCTTCCCAACTCAGTTCTTTCACTCATTTTCTTATTTAAAAGAACCACATAATGTAAATATGTGTGTGTGCATGTGTGTGTGTGTGCGTGTGTGTGTGTACACACACACACACGCACACACATATTTATACATATATACATACACATTCAGTAACAAGAACACCCCCCTCAGAACCTATCAAGAAGGTTCTGGGATAGATTTTCCTTCTCAAACCATTTATTCTTCGGGTAAAATAACAAAGTAGTTCTTCACATATTGATGTAAAGTAAACAAACTGCCTGCCATCTTGAAAGCTCCAAGCCCTCACATTGGTTTAAAGACCCCATCCACTTTACATGACTCGTAAAGATGAGCCCAGGCCAGCACCTCTCACTAGGCCAGCTTCTTATCTAATAATAAAATCCTCACTCTTCCTCTCTCATAAGCAAGCCCGTACACCAGTTTCCCCTCTCTCTTAAATGTGTCAGGAAGGGACATTTCTCCAGCTTTGGGTGATGGTAGGTGCAGTCAGTAGCTGAAGCCACCGCCTCTTCCTCCCTTCCTTCCCTCCCTCCTTCCAGTCCTCACCAGGGGCACGGCCTCCTCTGTCTGGTGATCGTACCAGTTGCTCCAGGGCTGTTTGCTCCCACTTTTCTGTTGCGGTTGACGACACATGACAAACCTAACCGCACGAAACCAAACCCAGATTTTTCTCAAGAGATGTTCTTCTCGGGAACAAATAAGCATTCTGCCTCCTTCCTCAGAATAGCTGGATGTTTTAAATGGCTTCTCTCCAGATTTCTCATAGCTTCATTCTGCCCTTTATTCTTACTCCTTTAAAATGATTAACTTTGGGGAATTCACATGGTGGCATCGTCCTTGACAAGTCCTCTAAAAACTATTGGGTCAGCTTAGGCAGAACAAGAATACTTTGTGACTATATTTTCCCCTCTACTTTTCGTACCTTAAAAAAAAGAATTTTGCTTCTACCTTTTAATATACAATGGTAAACAAATCCTTATTGGAATTTCCACCGTGATAAGCCAACCTTAGGCTGAACTGGACAGCTGGGTAACAACTAACCTGAGACCTTTCTCTGACATTTTCTGCCCAGTCCCCTACTACCGCCCACCGATTCTATTCAAGGACCTTCTATATTGTGTGTACATGACTCTCCAGCAGAGATTAATACAGTGATAGATGTGCTGATCTCTGGCACAGAATACCTTGTCTGATTACCAGCACTGGCCAGTTAGTCACTATTTTCTTCCCTTCCTTTCCCATTTAAAACAGTGAAACCAAAACCAAAAAGTGTTCTCTCCTCAAGATGCAGAATCACAGAGTGAAATACCCAGAGGTCAAAGGTGCCGAGACCTCCTCCACACGTGCCTGTCTTGCCTTCTCCCTGAATGCTGTGGGCACTTGATTCAGCCTGGGCATTCAGGCAGGAAGACAGAGATGGGCTTCCTGAGGGGGTTGGTCTGGGAGCCTTTGAATCACTAGCAATCAGAGAACCCAATTCACCGTGATAACATCAAACACCTCCTCTGACCCTACACCCGACCCCACCTCTCTAAAATCTGGGATGGGTGTTTGTGCGGTTAGCTGTTTGCAAGTGGCCATTTTATGACAGGAAATGACCAGGTGGTGTTAACCCTTTCCTTACCTCTAAGGAATATGGCAAGTCTGCCTATGCAGATTTCTATAGCATTTGGGGACCAACCTAGGGAGAGGGTGGAGGGAGTTTGTTTTTAGAAAAAGAGAAAGGGTTAAATACTTCACTGAGAAACTTAATGGGCAGATTTTTTAAATGATACAATGTGTCAGACTGGTGATATATCTTTGGAATACTAATAAAAAATTTTATTAATGCTACTTTAAAAAATGAATTTTAAGAAAGTAAATTACAGGGAAAATAGAATATAACCTACATTTGGTGGGGAAATTTTTGCCTATTTTTCCAAGTTTAACAAAATTAATATTTTAAAGTCCAGGTTTAAAATACTTTATATAAATGAATAGGTTTTTTTTAAAAAAACAAAACAAAACAAAACAAAACATGCTTGGTGTCTACTGTGGATATATATGTATACCAGTATATATCTCTATACATATGTGTATATATATGTGTGTGTGTGTATATATATATGTATCCAACTTTACTTAATAATATACTGTACATATACACCCACCCTTAAACTTGTACATACTGTATATATATAAAATGGCCACATTTCTTACGTGTGTCTGTCCCCGGAAGGGTGGACTGATTGTTTTTGGATGTCTGCAGCTGTTACCTTGAAGGATGCAATTTCATCTTTCATTTATTTTTCCCCATCTAGACTGTATCAGGATAAACTGTAACTCCAGTAAGTTTTCCCTCAAGTTTCATTTTGTTCTTTAAAAAAAAATACTGACTTTATTTTGTTTACTGTTTTATGAGCTGTTTTTTATTTGAATTATTTTTTCTTTTAACAATGGAGTTGGGGGGAGCTGGGGCTAAGAAGATGGGGAACTGGGTGAGGGTGAAGGTCTGAGTGTGGTTTGGGGCGTGGTTTCTGGGCAGGTCCTCTCTTTTTCCTTGCATTTGTTCTATATGAAGAAAAGAAGGCAAGGGCACATTGAAATAGTGAAAAATCAGCTTGGAAAGATCATTTATTGTCTTTGGGAAGTAACTCTGAGAGTGAACAAAAAGCTTTAGGGCAACCAGCATGCACTTCTCCACTACCGAACACTTCAGAAAATAAAAGCAAAGTTCTTGACCCAGAGGTGGCTGCCAACTCTGACATTTCTTTCCCGGTGTTTATCACCGTTAGGAGCTTCTAACAGGGTGGGCAGATCACTGCTACTCGTGATAAGCCAATGCTTCAACCAAAGACTTGAGACTGGCTCTGCAAAAGGAAGAATTGTAATATGATTTTCACCTTCTCCCATTCAGATACCCTCGCTCTTGAAAAAGGGTTCTAACAAGGTACAGGATGAAAACGTCTCACGCATTTCTTCCTGTTCATTAAAAGTAAACACTAACTAGAGTCAACTTAGAAGGGGAATATGAAGATAAATAGAAGAATAGGCACAAGAGAAAGAATAGGCCTAGATGATGAAAGGAAAAAAGGAAGACATATGCTTGGATATATACTATAGCATATTATATTAGGCTGATTAATACTAACTACTGTAACAAGCAATCCCAATGTTATAATGGCTCCATAAAAGAAGGGTTTATTTCTTGTTCAGGCAAAGTCCAATACTAATTGGGCATTTTTCCCAGACAACTCTCTTCAAAGAGGTAATCCAGGGATCTAGGATCCTTCCATGAGGTGGGTCCACCATCTTGGAGTTCATTACTTCTGGCTGTATCCATAGGGAAGAGAAAGAGAGCGAGAGAGCTGGAATGGTGTGCAGTAGGTCTTATTGCCTTGCTTGGAAGTAAGAAACATCATTCTATTCATATTTTATTTGCTAGACATGACTCCATCTTACTTGGGAAGGAAGCTGGGAAATGTCTTCTAGCGCACTCAGGAGAAGAAAAACTTGGATTAGTTGAATATCTGGCATATGTAATTTTCCATATTATCTCATCATTTTTAAAATTCTTTCCTTGCTAGGGTCTTTCTGTTGGAACAAAAGGAAAAATCCAACTTCTACATTTGGTTTACTTGCTGATTTCATCCTAATAAGTCTTGTATAGGTGCTAATTTAAAGTTCTTTCTTGGTGGAAGCTATATTATGGGCATGACAAACTAATAAAGCCCAATTCTACTTTTGGTGGGGTGCAAATGTCCCATCTAAGTTAACACAAAAAGAAGACATTGAAAATATTGATATAAGCAACTACTTCCAAAATGAGTGCTTTATCCTTGGCTTGGCATCGCTAACAGTTATTTTAAGCAATGCCCTATTTTCTGTGTCTAAATATTTCTAATTAGCCAGAAATTTGTTATGATATTTAGATCATTAAAAGCCTAATTGAAATATCCTTTCTCTCCAAAGCCTGGAGTTTGCTGTTCCTGTTTCTTCTTTTTTTTTTTTTTTTTTTTTTTTTTCAGCAGCTTTATTGAGGTCTAATTTTCATACCACTACATTTACCCATCATAAACTTACAACAGTTCAAGGACTATAATTAAACTTATAAAGTTGTCCAAACATCACCACAATCACATTTTAGAACATTTCCATCATTCCCAGAATTTCCCTCCTGCTCTTTTCCAGCTAATCTCTGCTCCTACCCATGGTCCTAGGTAACTATTGATGTGCTCTGTTGCAATAAATATGCCTTTTTGGAAATTTAATGTCAATGGAGTTACATAAATTGTTATGTAGTCATTTGTGTCTTGCTTTTTTTTAAAAAAAAATTTTTAATAGCATTTCTATGGGAATTTTTTCTCTTTCCTTTTGCACTGGTTTTCAGAAGGAAATAAGGTAGAAACTTAGCATGAAGGTGGAAAGCCTTGTATCCGAAGCTACATCTGGCATCTTCTAGCTTCAAAGACTTATTTGGAGAACAGGGAACTGAGGCGATTATTTTATCAGGATATCAGGATTTGCTTTTGCTTTCTCTGTCCACGCTTTCTCATGAAGTCAATCCTATATATTCTGTATGATCAGCCACAGAAAGTCATCATAAGACAATTTCCAGGATTCTCTCTGTTGGGAAGATAGTGACACAGATGACAGCAGGTTTTCTTAATCTGATAAAATATTTTCTATTTTCAATCACCAAAAACAGCATTGAGAGGAAAATAAGTCAGCAGAAGTATGTTCCCAGCTTTGATCACAAACCATAGAAAGAATATAACTGATTTCAATTTAATACGTATGTAAAGAATCAAGATTAGATGTTGGAAATTATTTTTAGGATTTTCATAATAAACCTTTACCATACTAGGAACATTAATAGTGTTGGGAATATAGTATCAGAGACATAATACAATGTTCACTGGTTAAAGTGTTTGACTAGAAAAAACCAACACACATGGGTCTTTTAAAGTAATCTAACAGCTTTAGAGCTAAACAATGTAACCATGCATCTAGGGTTATGCAGAGTCACAAAGTAAATATGGCACATTTTTTCTGAAGCTAATTTTAATTGTTAATCTCAAGTAAAAGTTTAAATTGAAACCACATCGATAAATTATGCAGAAGAATGCAAATAAGCATGAATGTTTAAGAAAAAAAGATTTGAATAAGAATTCAAAGACATTTCATTTTTATTGTGTATCTTCTCTATTTCATCCCTGGTATTATTGGCATTTAAGTGGAAAAGTTTGAGAAGACCATGCAATTAAATTTGGAGAGAAAAAGGATGTACGTGATTCGAACTTCTAAGCCCTTCTTCTTATTGACTCCCTGTCAGATTTCATAGCTTGACCTGTTACAGGATCTCAAGTTGTTTCTGTAATAGGTGTGCAGGTCCTTACTCTTCCTTGATTTTCAACTGTGAGAGTGTTTGCACCCTGGGTTTGAGAGGGAGGGGTCTTTCCCTCAGCCTTACCTCTTGCTGTTATTTCAATAGAAGTCATAGGTTACCTTGCTTAATTTTAAAAACAGAGCTTCTTTTTTCCCCCTTGAAGGGAAATACTGAATTAAATTTGAATCAAGGTGGATTGTAAGTTTGTGAACTTTTCTAGTTGTTCTTTTTTAGCATGTCAGTCCTTTGAAAAGTCACTCGGGTAAAATACTGAATGACATCAGCTATTTTTTTCCCCTGTTCTCTGTTATAAAATATTGTTTTTTTCTGGGAAATGCCTATTTCCAAGGCATTCTGTGACACTCGTTAATGGAGACAAGAGCATGAGAAAGCAGGATGATCTTCCAGCATCCAGAGAAAACCGTGGGCCATGAGAGAGAACAGTGATCTTGAGGTGGAAAAAAAGCAGTTTTCTTCTAGCCTTCTTCCTTTTGGTTTTGCTGTCTGGCCCTTTTGTTGGAGACTATGGCCTAATTCCATGCCAAGCATTTCCTACCAAGAAGCAAAAACAATACTCTAATCAGCCTCTGTATCTTTCTCCCTTTCTTAACTTCTCTTTTTTTTAATAGTTTGTCTTTTATCATGATATCGATGATATATTCATTATTATTCATTACAAATCCTACTACCCCTGCTTTCCAAATCCTCTAAGAATACCACACCATAAATTCCTCTGTAGTTACTATCAATAAACATATATTAGAGAGTGTGCAAATCAAGGTCTTTGGTTGAATCAAGGTCATTGCTGGATTTGATTCATCTGGCAGAAATGTATTTGAAGACACTTAATACATATAGTTCTCATTTAGAATTTATTTTTAAATTGCAAAAGAACAACAGAGTTGGCAGCCATCATGGTGAATTGAACTCTAGGGTGACCTGGAACACTGGTAAAGAAAACAGGGCTGGCTGGGTGCGGTGGCTCACGCCTGTAATCCCAGCACTTTCGAAGGCTGAATAGGGTGGATAACAAGGTTAAGAGATCGAGACCATCCTGGCCAACATGGTGAAACCCTGTCTCTCCTAAAAAATACAAAAATTACCTGGAGGTGGTGGCAGACTCCTGTAATCCCAGCTGCTCGGGAGGCTAAGGCAGAAGAATTGCTTGAACTCAGGGGCCAGAGTTTGCAGTGAGTCGAGATTGTGCCACTGCACTCCAGCCTGGTGACTGAGCGAGTCTCTGAACAAACAAACAAACAAACAAAACAGAACTCTTTTCTGGAGAATTTCTGGAGGAAATGACCTGTTCCTATGGTTCTGGTTCCATAAGGCTGGCAGTAACCTAAGAGGCATGCAGTTCTTAAAACAGGTATGAACTTCTCGTTGATGTGATGAGTGCACAAATGAAAGTATGGAAAATGGCTTTTTGTCTTTGACCTTGTCTGATTGTGCCTTTGCCCTATGACTTCCTAGCCCCTAATTTATTCTATTCCTTTCAAGCCACGTGCAGTATGAATGAATATAGAGAACTAATATTACTTAAATATATGTATAGCTTGAATGAATTTAGTAAACATATATTAATGAATTTCAACTTTTCCTTTCTTTTTCTATCTTTCCTCTCAAATGCTAATTCTTCTGTGTTGTGGCCATTTTCCTTATCTTTCTAACATGGAGTGTATATGTGGCATGGGAATTCTAAGTTTGTGTAGATGCCTGATTATTTAGGTATATGTAACAACATCTCTCTCACTAATTGCTTTGAACCTAAAGACTCACTAATTTATCTGTGACAAGGTTTATTTTTTTCTTCTTAGACACAGAGGAGAAAGGAAATAGAGTGCTACAAAAAATATATATTGACCTTAAGACACTCAAGTACCACAGTAGAGTTATTTGTGTCAGAGAATAACTTTGACGATCTTGTCTATTTTCCACATACCCTGATATCTTTGATTC